GGATTCTGCTTGATGGTAGCAGCAGGCTTCGGCCTTGGAATTGATTCCCAGCTCTGCACGCGTGTCCATCCACTGTGTTCTGCAGGCTTTCCCAGGTACAGCGGCTGTGCACGTGTAGACTGCTCATCTCCCTCTGAACTCCGTTAACCTGGAAACTACAGGGAGAGGGCTTGCTGCCTGCTCCCTTCATGTTGATTTTGTAATTGGCCAGATAATATTTTGGCTGCTTCTGCAAAGGCATTTTTCGGATAAGATTAACGTTGAAATCAATGGTCTTTGAGTAAAGCACATTAGCCTTTATGATTTGGGGTGGACCATATCCAATCAGTTGAAGGATTTAATATAGACTTCTTCATGCAAGAAGGAATATTTAAAAAAAAAAAGATTTACTTATTTGAAAGAGTTACAGAGAGGCAGAGAGAAAGAGAGAGAGAAAGAGAGAGAGAGAGAGATCTTCCATCCGCTTGTTCACTCCTCAAATGGCCACAACAACTGGAGCTAAACTGATCCGAAGCCAGGAGCCAGGATCTTCTTCCACGTCTCCTGCATGGGTGCGGGGCCCAAGGACTTGGGCCATCTTCTGGAGTTTTCCCAGGCACATCAGTAGGGAGCTGGATCAGAAGTGGAGCAGCTAGGTCTAGAACTGGCACCCATATGGGATGCTGGCCCTGCAGGCTGCGGCTTAGCCCACTGCACCACAGTGCCGGCCCCGCCTTGTATTTTTAATATGCGTCCTTTTCTGTTTGAATGATGACACTACATTTTTTTTATTATTGCATTTGAATGGATTTTAGTCTTTTTTCAGAGATCCAGCCACTGGAGGGAGGAGCCTGTTGTGTATAAGATACTGTGTTCATCTGAAGCTGAAGGTAAACTCACAGGTGCTGAGGGGAACGGGAATGTCCTCTGTGCTGTTACTCTCACCCGCGGAACTTCACAGACCTGCGTAATGCCAGCACCCAGGACATCTGGGGAACGTGTAAACATGACTCATGATCTCCCAGCTGACTTCCTGGTGCACCTCAGGTCCCTCCTGCGTTGGCTGTATCTTCAGTTTGGCACCGGTGATGGTTCCTGCACGGATCTGTCCTCACTGAATTGGAGAATAAATGACACCGTGACATAAAGTGACGCAGGGAGAGGCAGCTTCGGTCCTTTTCCTGTCGAGGAAAACATCTCTGCACAAACTAATAGAGATGAAGGCATCAGCAAGATTGGGTCACCTGGGCCGTGCTCCTTTATAGCACTTTGCAGAGAGTGACGGGGAAATTCTAAGGGGAAATGAAGATGCTCAGCCTGATCAGGCCACGGTAAGCAGCCGGGTCCCCATGTTGTTGTACCCGGATGTCCGGCAGTGGTGGTGCCAATTATACTGCTCAGTGCTTGGCAGCTAGCATTCCCCTCTCTTCCCCGCCCCCTCCTGCCCTTCCTGCCTCCCTCCCACTTCTCTCTCTCTCTCCCTCTCTCTCCCTCCCTCCTCTCCTCTTTCACCTACACATTCTTCCCGTTTTCCACACTCTCCCACTCTGCTTCGTAAGGCAGGCATGAGCTGTCCTCAGAAAGAACCCTCAGTATCTTGGGAAGCCTCTGTCTTAGGTGAGGCTTCTAGATGGTCTCCAGATAAAGGGAGGCCCCTGTCCTCCCAAAAGGAGGTGGTGACCACATCTGTTAGCCCAGTATCATGGAGTGCAAATATTTTCTTTTCTTTTTTTAGAATTATTTATTTATTTGAAAGTCAGAGTTATATAGAGAAGGAGAGGCAGAGAGAGAGAGAGAGAGAGAGAGGTCTTCCATCCACTGGTTCACTCCCCAGTTGGCCACAATGGCCGGAGCTGTGGCGATCTGAAAGCAGGAGCCAGGATCTTCTTCCGGGTCTCCCACATGGGTGCAGGGGCCCAAGGACTTGGGCCATCTTCTACTGCTTTCCCAGGCCATAGCAGAGAGCTGGATCAGAAGTGGAGCAGCCGGGACTCGAACCAGCGGCCATATGGGATGCCAGCACTGCAGGTTGGCAGCTTTACCCGCTACGTCACAGCGCCAGCCCCTCAAGTATTTTCAAATGCATCCACTGAAATACATCCCAGATCTCAAGGTGCAACTCGTTCCGTATCAGGCGCTGACTTCAGTGTGACAGACCTGCCAGGGCCGTGAATTGAATGCAGAATAGGAGTGCAGAAGCTCTACTGCATTATAACTGCACCTCGTCATTAGTTTTCAGCGAAGCCTGCTCTCTTGCTGCAGGGTGAGAATGCCTTAAACAAGGGAGCTTTCTGGCTTTGCTAACATTCTCAGAGTTCATTTATTTTAAAGTCTGACCATTTGTTTTCTTTAGGTATTCTATGGAGGTTACAGAAAACTAACCAATTATACAGTCCTTAAAGTTGCCATTGCTCATGTATTTTTCAAGTTCAAGAGCCTTTGTTACCCCCATACATATGTAGCTCATCTCATTCACCACGGGCAAGAGTTCCAGTAACTGTGATCCTGCAGCATATTGGGGGAAATCAACCCTGGACTGCAGCCAGCAAGTGGGCCCTTGTCCTCTGATGGATTGATGAGTGATCTAATTCTATTTGTTTTTAAAATATTTATTTATTTGAAAGTCAGAGTTAGAGAAAGAGAGAGAGAGAGAATCTTCCATCTGCTGATTCACTCCCCAAATGGCCCAGTGGCCAAGGCTGGGTCTGGCTGAAGCCAGGAGCCTAGAACTCCATATGGGTCTCTAATGTGAGTGCTGGGGCCCAAGCACTTGGGCCATCTGTGGTATGGGAGACAGGGGTGGTAGGAGCACCAGTAAAGACCCCGTGCAAACTGGGGCTTGAACACAGGCTACCTCTGAGAGGCAGGAAATGCACCTGAATTTTTTCTCACTGAGGACGAGGAACACTATTTATCCACCCGATTCTGTGCTTAGTAACTGTGGTCACTTCAGGGATTCTGTTGCTCTGGCTGGGCACCACAGACTGGGTCATTTATGAGGAACAGAGGTTGGTCTGACTCCCAGGTCTGGAGGCTGGGCAGGCCCAGAGTGTGCACTGGCGACTGCTCACCAACTGACCTTTTCCCTGTGTCATGGTGGCAGGCATCATGCGGCGAGATGGAGCAAGTCAGAGAGAGAGTTTGCTGTTATTGCAAAGTCCCTCCCTGGAGAGCCCACGGCTCTCTCAGTCCCTGGCTCCCTCAGTCCACGAGCGAATTAAGACGTTCAAGAAGGCAGAATCTCATGGCCCATGCACCTCTCCATGACGCACCTGTCAGACACCATGAACACATGACTTAGGGGACTGTGTGTCCAATGCATGAAATCTGGAGGACACAGTCAAACTGTAGCAGCCAGAGAGGGTCCCCATCACTCTCGCCGAGTCCGCCATGATCCCTCCTCTGGACCACGGCCTCAGCCTCCTGATGGCTCTCCTCGCTTCAGGGCTCGCCCCCAGCTACCCATCGCTCATCCCCGTCTCTCAGGAAGGGGCAGCTTTCTCCTGGCTTCCTTCAAAGCCTGCACAGCCTCTGCTCTGTTCTCTCTCTGAGCCCCCCTCCTCTCCTCGACTCCATTCCATCCCCGTTGGCTTCAAGGACCATTCCCTGAGGGCACCAAGCGGCCCTCCTCAGGCCTTTGCCGTGACTGGATTGCCCTTCCACTGACTAACTCTGTGGCTCACTCAACTGCCGCCTTCTAGACTTCACTTAAATCTCACCTTAGTGAGGCTTGCCCTGTCCATTCAGTGTGAAACCTGAAACCCATGCTTCTCCCCATCCCCAAACTCAATTCCCCATGAGTTGCTTTGTTCTCTACGGCACTGGTTACTGCTGATCTATGAAGTAATCTACTTTTGATTACGTTCCTTGCTTGTGCTCTCCCCTCCAACTAGGATGTGGGCACGATTAAGGCAGGAAGTTTTCCTTTCTGTAATCGATGCTGCACTTAAAATTGTCCCAAGCACATCCTCGGTACTCAGTAAGTTGGCTAATGGATAAATGAGTGCCTGAGCAGTGTTCTGCATGTTATCTGGAGTTTCACTAGAAATTGAATTTACTGGGGCAGGCGCCGTGGCTCACTTGGTTAATCCTCCGCCTGCGGCACCGGCATCCATGTGGGTCCTGGGTTCTAGTCTTGGTTGCTCCTCTTCCAGTCCAGCTCTCTGCTGTGGCCTAGGAAGGCAGTGGAGGATGGCCCAAGTGCTTGGCACCTTCCCCTGCATGGGAGACCGGGAGGAAGCACCTGGCTCCTGGCTTTGGATCGGCGTAGCGCCGGCCGTAGCAGCCATTTTGGGGGGTGAACCAACGGAAAAAAGGAAGACCTTTCTCGTCTGTCTCTCTCTCTCACTGTCTAACTCTATCTGTCAAATAAAAAAACAAAACTAAATTTACTGTATTTTGGCAAAGCCAGTCAATCTGTTTATTTAGACCAAGTGGCCAGGATGGTTCTGGTCCTGTTTCAGTCACCTACTTCCGTTTTCTGTCAGCTTCTCGCCATCGCCTTTGTCAGCCCCTCTGTTCCAGCTCATGGTTTCGCCTTGAGTCATTGCAGAACCATTTAAGCTGTCACTGGGTACGGGCACTGTGCAGAGCCTGCCAGGTTACCCAAAGGGAACGAGCTGGAAAAGCTCTTAGGGGGAGGTGCGAAGCCAGCCTACTGGGAAATGGGTGTGGCATATCCACAATGGTTTCATCAGAGTCAAAGCCAACCCTGACTTCGCAGTCTGAAGAGCGGCTGCCTACTCGAGTGAAGGCGACTGTGGAATCTGTGGCAGGTGGGCCAGAAAACAGGACACCGGGCGGAGTAGCTCTCCGTTGCTGTCCATCAGGACCCCAGGATTTCAGCCGAGGGGTGGATCTGGCTCAAAGGGAGGTTTTAAAAATTGGCTGGGGCGGAAGTCGCCCGCGACTTGGGGCAGATGCATTAGGGGCTGATGCGGCTGGGGCTGGAACCCCTGCTTTCTTCTTGTCACAAAACGGTGCGGTGGCCGGGATGCACCCGTCTTTGAACAGCCCACGACCTCCTGGTTCACTTTTAAAATCCGGCAGTACTAGGCTGAGCCCTAAGCAGCATGACCTTTTCGTGGGAAAAGCTGAATGGTTGGGGGCAAGTGACTTCACTTTCTGTCTCTTTTCTTCCACGATGAGTTTTCATTCTTTAATTTTTGTTTTTAATTTAGCCTAAGCTTCCTGGTTTTCCCTTATCTACAATAAGGGGCCTGGCCACAGCCCCTGACATTCCATCTGACACGTGCCTACCCTTTCAGGTGCTGGCATGAGGGGCTCATCGTCCTGCAGGCAGACGCAGAAGGACGAGGGAGGGGAAGAGTAGCCTCTCCGCAAACAACCACAGGACCAATATGGCCACCACCAATTACGCCTCGCTGTATCTAACAGACGTGGGATCTGTGCGTTATTCTGAGGACCAGCTGAGAGGAGGGCGCACGTGTTCCAGGTCAGAAGTTCCAGGCTCAGAGCAGACGCCTTCAGAGAGCTCATGCCTGAGGGTGAAGTAGAAGCCATCTTCCGAGGATTTCTGGGATGGACGGGAGAGGTTTGGGGAAAGGTAGTGGGGTAACCAAGAAGCCACTTGCATTCCTTATTGTTGAAAACAATAACGTACTAGTGTAGGCCCAAAGAGGATAGGAGTTAAAGACTACGAAGGGGCTGGTGTTGTGGTGTAGCACATACAGCTGCCTCCTGGGACGACCGATGCCAGCATCCCACATGGACAACGGCAGAGTCCCGTTACTCCACTTCCCGTCCAGCTCCCTGCTGATGTACTTGGGAAAGCAACAGAAGATGGCCCAGGAGCTTGGGCCCCTGCCACCCATGTGGGAGACCTAGAAGAAGCTCTTGGCTCCTGGCCTCAGTATGGCCCAGCCTTAGGGCCATTGCAGCCATCTGGGGAATGAACCAGAGGATGGAAGCTCACGCATTCGCTCTGTCTCTCCCTTTCTTAGTGTAACTTCGACTTTCAAATGAGTAAATCTTTTAAAATATATTTTAAAAATTGGCTGGGGCTGCTGAGCATAAAACCAGGTGGAGTGGTGGAGACTGGCCTTGGTAGGGGGTGTCTGCTCCGGCTGGCCTGGCCCTGCGAATGGGGGAAGCTCACACGGGGTCACCGTGGAGACCCGAAGGTGGGTGCCTGTGAGTGGGGATTGGCTTCCATGTGGCTTACCAAATCACACTTGGCCGAGTCCACAGACTCTGTGCAGCAGAGTCTGGCTGCACTGGTGACAGGTGACCGCAGAGGCCGTGCTGAGCTCGCTGGTGAAGACGGGAATTTGTGGCAGCGACTCAAGGAATCTGTAAGGAAAAGAGAGGGACTCCATATCCATAGGGGTGGAGGACTCAGTCCTGCGGGTGGTAGACTTGGAGGAAACGGAAACAGCTGCTTTCTCCTCTGGTCTTCGGTTGTCCATCAGAACACATCGAGTTTTAATTTCTCCTGACAGTAAGATACTTTGAAGATCAGAGTAAAGACTTATAGCGAAAAGACCAGAATTGAAATGGGCTCTATTTCCACTTGAAAGTGGAATTCTTAAAAAAAAATACTGAACTTCAAGAAAGAAATGGCCAGAACAACAAAAAGAAAAAAAAAAATAGGATTGAGTGTCTCATCCCATCATTTCAGGATCAGCATATGGCGTGGGGTTGGTACAGGGGCAGAGGATTTTGTTAACAGAGCCCGCATCTGGCAGGAGTGGGTGGAGATTTTGTTTGACAGCACATCTGTAGCCTTCCTCCCTTCCTCTCCTCTGTCTTCAGTGGGGTTGGAGAACCAGGCCAATGGCCTTCAGGAACTTTTCCTTGGCTAAACTTTCTGAACCCATTGTGGCTGGATCCCAAAGTCCCTGCACCACTCTCCTAAAGAGGCAGGAGCCGGCTGGTGCCGCGGCTCACTAGGCTAATCCTCCGCCTGTGGCACCGGCACCCTGGGTTCGTAGTACCAGTTGGGGCACTGGATTCTGTCCTGGTTGCTCCTCTTCCAGTCCAGTTCTCTGCTGTGGCCCAGGAGTGCAGTGGAGGATGGCTCAAGTGCTTGGGCCCTGCACCCCATGGGAGACCAGGAGAAGCACCTGGCTCCTGGCTTCGGATCAGCGCAGCGCGCCTGCCATAGCGGCCACTTTGGGGGTGAACCAACGGAAGGAAGACCTTTCTCTCTCTCTCTCTCACTATCTAACTTCTGCCTGTCAAAAACAACAACAACAACAACAAGAGGCAGGAGCCCCCAGCAGGGCCGGCTCCATGAGCTGGGAAGGCACGACTTCTGACGCCTGAGCTCACAGGGAAAACTTCGCCTTCTTACTCCCGGTGCTCCCGGGTGGTTGGAAGGAATGCAGGTTTCCTGCAGAGGCCCAGGGCCCCCAGAGCAAGGAAAAAGCATCGGGTCGCTTCCCCAGACGATGCTGATGGCACACTCCATTGCCTGCATGTGATGGGCGCTTCTACGCTTGGGTCCTATTTGGCCGTCCTCCATCTTCGGCTGTCCCTTCCTCCTCCCCAGGGCTCGCTCAGTCTTCTTGGGCCGGCATCTAGGTACTCTGGATGGAACGGAGCTCATGGGGGAACTTCTTTCTCGCCGGGTGGTGATGGAGGAGGGTCAGGTTGCACCCTGGATGACAGATCTTAGCTGTCCGGAATGGCCGAGCCTCTTGGAGTTCCCAGTGCCCAGTGCTGGCTCCATCTGAGAGTCCTGCCCAACACTGAGGAGCTTGGAGCCTCCTGGATCGCATAAGCTAAGCAGCGAGACAGAAACCCCGGTGGAAGACAGGCCAGGGAGCGGTGCAGCAGCTGCCGGGTGGGCATGGCCAGTCAGGGGGACCTGGAGCGCGGTGGCCCCGGGAGGCGGGTATGAAGCTCGCCGAGGCCGTTGCCCGGGACAGCAGCTGCGTGCGCCGTGGGGTCCCTTGGCGCGGAGTCCGGAACCTCAGAGCGGTGTCCTGGCTGCCAACTCCGAGGCGAGGCACAGCGCTCAGCCCCAGGCGGGTGAGGGAAGGGTGCGTGAGCCAAGGGCGCGAAGACATCGCAACGGAGGCCCAAGGGCGAGGTCCAACGGCCCAACCCCTGCTGGCCTCGCGCGCTTCGCGCCTGCTCTCGCTTGGTGGCGGGCGTTTGGCACCGAGCGGGCCCCCGCCGTAGGTGGCGACCGACCAGGTCTGCAGGGGCTCGCCCAGCACCGGCCCCCGGGGGCAGGAGCGTCTGTCACCTCTGCCTGTGAGTCGCCAGCCCTTGTCACGAAGACCCTACCCGAAGGCAGAGAGGCGGGAGCAACCTTGATTCTCCCGGGAGAGGAGGGACTACGGGAAGGGGGTGGGGCAGGGGAGAGGGGCTGCTGACCACATCCCGGGCTGGCAGGCGGGTTCTCTTCACTGCTCGCTGCAAGTTTGGTTTTTAAAAAGGCGTGTGAGCCTTAGAACCCTTCCCCCGGCCTGACAGCTGGTAGTGGCCCTAAAAGGACTTCTTGTCCCAGGCGCTCAGACTCCAGAGCTCCCGAATATAACCGTTTGAGCCACGGTGTCTCCCTGTGTCATGGACGCGTCGTGAATTGATGCTTTCTATGGTCTTCGGGATACTGTGCACCAGGCACCCCTGTAGTGGGCACAGGCACTGCCTGCTGGGAGGCCGTGTTTGGCTCGGCTGCTAAGCAGACCATGGGCCACAACTGGGTTGTCAGCCCAACCCACAGGCTGTTTCTCTTCAAGCTGACCCATACAGCCAACCACCTGTCACCTGTGTAACGACAGGAGATGGCACATCCGCGGGGTGCAGGATCCACCTGGCTTAAAACCCTGGTGTCACCAAGGGCACCGATGTCTCTGGTGACAATTTTTGTTGGCTGGATTTTAGTGTCCTGGCCCAAATTGATGTTTTGCCAATATTAGCTTCTTCCGCGCACCACATGGGGTGTATCTCACACATCTCCATACAGCTGGGTCTTTTACCTTTTCTCTCAGCGCTTTGCAGTAATAGCAAATTATGTAACCCATGAGCCATTTGGAACTTAGCCTGATTTTGTAAGGTCAATAAATGAAAAGGAGATTAGTATGTTTAAAGGGTTGTAAAGAAAGTTTAAAAAACCAACAGGAATCCAAAGAATATGTTGAGAGATCAGTGCAGTGTGACCTCCAAGGCCTGTGTTATTTATTATCCGGCCCTTAAGGGAGGAAGTTCGCTCTTGCTTTTATGATTTTCTGTGTGGAGTCTTGGTCAACTTTGTGCTAGTTTATCCTCTCATATTTTATGGGATTTGGAAATGTTCTTTAAGTGGTTTTAAATTTTATTGTTGAGTAGGTCATTGGTAATACACAGAAAGTACATATAATGTGTGTGTATGTATGAGGGCACTTCAAAATTTCACAGAAAAATTAAAATAAGTTGAATTTGGCACAAAAATTTTTTGAAATCCATATATGTTTTGTTCAGAATACACATTTTTTGTGAACTTTTCATCCTTTTAAAAAGTTATTTGTTTGAAAAGGAGACAAGGTGAGACAGACATCTTTTTTTTTCAAGATTTATCTTATTTTATTTATTTTGAATTTATTTTATTTATTTTGAAAGACAGAGTTACAGGGAGAGGTAGAGACAGAGAGATTTTCCATCCACTGATTCACTCCCAAATGGCCACAATGGCCGGAGCTGTGCCAATCCGAAGCCAGGAGCCAGGAGCTTCTTCCAGGTCTCCCACATGGGTGCAGGGGCCCAAGGACTTGGACCATCTTCTACTGCTTTCCCAGGCCATAGCAGAGAGCTAGATCAGAAGAGAAACAGCTGGGACTAGAACCAGCACCCGTATGCAATGCCAGCACTTCAGGCCAGGGCTTTAACCCGCTGTGCCACTGCCCCAGCCCCTGACAGACATCCTCTCTCTGCTGGTTCACTCTCCAAATGCTCAGGCAGCCAGAGTTGGACCAGCCAAGCCGGAAGCCCAGAATTCAATCAGGTTTCCCATGTGGGTGACAGGGACCCAAGTCCCTGCTGCCTCCCAAGATGTGCATCAACAGGAAGTTGGGCTCAAACGTGGAGCCAGGATGTGAAGCCAGGGACTCGGATGATGAACTTTTTGAAGCTCTCTCATGCATGGATATATTTTTGTACTCGTGTATACAATACTTGTGTGCATGTGTGTGTACACACATATATATATCACAAATATATATGTAGATGTATTTACGCTGGTACCTTGCTAAATTCACCTTTTATTTCTGGTAGTTGTATTCTTTTCTTGGCATTAGGATTTTGGTGGTCACCTAGAATGAGTTAGG